TGGACTTGCCGCTGCCCGTCTGCGGCCTTGCGCATCTAAACTTCCCCATGTCTCTGCGATCCTATTCTCATTTGGGTTCACCTTTCTTGGTCTTTGGCATCACTCGCTGTGGCTCGACCCCTTTGGTCTTAGACGCCACGTACGTGGGCTCCAGCGTGTCGTTGCGGAGCCTTGCTCAACTCGCTTCGGGTATCTTGATCACCGACTTGGTGGCTTTGGGCTTAGTGACTTCGCTCAAGAGTTCTGCTCATTTGGACTTGGTAGCGTCCATTGTCCAATTTACTCATACTGGACTTCTGCTGTTGCTGCGAGGCTATGCGCACTTGGGCTTGGGGCTCTCGGTGTTAGGCCTCACTTGCTTAGGTTTCACGCTTTTCGCGCTTGATTTTGCAAGTTTCGGGCTATCCTTGTCCTTGCGATCCGTAGCACGGTCAGACTTTGCAACGCCCGTGCTGAATTATCCGTCCATCGACAGTTTCTCGTCATTACATGGCTTTGCCCGACTTGGATTTATGGTGTTAGTCTTAGGACTTGGCAGATTGGGCTCCTGCTTGCCTGTCTTGGATGCTGTGGCTGTGGGCTTCCTGCTATCGATCCAAAGCTTGGCATGACTTGGATCTTCAACCTCCACTTTGGACACAGTGTGCTTGGCCTTCACGATCTTCTTACAAAGTTTTGCATGGCTCGGCCCCACTGTTTTGACCTGCGACCTCGTGAAGACTGGCCTACCGCCCTTGGTGAGGCATCTTACACACCTGGACAGCTTCTCGTTGGTTGTGGGAATGGTGCGATCTGGCTTCTTGATTTTGGCCTTGGACTTCCTGCATTTAGGTTTGCCTCCCTTGGTCCAAAGCCTTAGCCGACTTGGCTCAACCATGCTGATGTCCAACGTCATGTATCTGGGATCCCCGATTTTCCTGCAAAGCTTCACGAGATCAGGCTCCGCCCCTTTAGCCTCGGACACAGTGCGCCTTGACTTCATGATGTTGGCCTTGGACTTCGCAGCCTTTGACTCCAGTCTATTGATGCGATCCATGGCCCAAATGGGCTTTTCGATGTCAGCCTTTGACGTGATCAGCTTGGACTCCGCCCTCTTGCCACGATCCTTCGCTCAAATTGACCCGGTGTTGTTAGTCCTGGAGGTTGGCAGTCTGGGTTTCACGCTGCCGCTTCGACAACCCTCACGCCCAGAAAGCAGCTTCTTAGTTGCTGGCGTCGCTCAGCTGGACTTCTTCTTGTCGACTTTGGATGCAGTGGCACTAGGCTCCGGCTTGTCGATCCGCAGCTTTGCTCAGGTGGGTTTCGTGTTGTTCGCACCGGGCATGGGCAGTTTGGACTTCCCGGTGTTTTTGAGATCCTCCTCGCAACCAGGCCTCGCTTCACCCGTGATGGGATTGTTGCGCATGGCATTGCAGGTGTTGGTGCTGGACCTTGTTCAGCTCGAGTTCATGCTGCTGTTGCAAAGCACTGCTTGATCAGCTTTGGTGACTTTGATCTATGACTCAGCAGCTGTAGGCTTTTCACTGCTCTTGAGGAGTATGGCACGCGCCGGCTTGGTGATTCCGGTCTTGAGCTTCTCACATCTGGGATTCCCCGTTCTGTTGCAAGGACATGCACACCTCGAGCCTTCCATGTTCCTCTTGGGTGTCATATTGTTAGGCTTCTTCTCGTTGGTGTTGGACCTTGCCATGGTGGGCCTGGTGTCACTCGCGCGTAGCCTTTCTCGCTTGGGCTCCGTGGTGTTGGCGCTGAAACACTCTCATCTGGACCTCCTGCTGCTGCTGCGAGCACCTGCGTGGTCAGGCTTCACTGTGAGCGTGTTCGGCACGTCCACGTTCGGCTCCTCCTCGTTGGTCTTGGACTTCCTTCATTTGGGCTTCCCGACACTCTTGCGAAGCCTTGCACAAGCGGACTTCGCGATGTTGGTCTCTGATTCCTCAGTCTTTGACCTGTTGGTGTTGCTCAGAAGCTTTAGTCAAGTGGGCTTGGCCATGTCTGTCTGCAATTCTGCGACCTTTGACTCTCCGATGCTCATTCGAAGCCTCCTGCGTTCGGGCTTGGCGGTCTTGAGCAGTGAAGTCTTCCGCACGGGCAACACCTTCTTGGCGACGGATAGCTTCCGCTCGGGCCCATCGTCATCAGTCCAAAGCTTTGCTTGTTCCGAACTCTCTTTGTCAGCTTGTGGCTTGGCAGCGGTCGGAAGTTTGTTTTTGCTCAGAAGCCATGCGCGCTTGGACAGTGCTTCGCCAGTGTTTGGTGCTGTGAGACTGGGTTTCCCTTCCCCAGTGTCAGATCTTGCTGCACTGGGCTTTGCAATGTTCTTGAGGAGCTTTGCTCGCTTGGACAGTGCAGTCTTGACATCTGACTTTGTGAGCGTGGCTTCCATGCTGTCCGTTCGATCACTTGCTCGGCTGGGATTCCAGGTGCCGGTGCTTCAAATGGCCAGTTTGGGTTTCTCCTCCTCGCTACACGGCCTTGCTTGAATGGCTTTCATCTTGCTCATCTTTGGCATGGTGCAGCTAGACTTCACTTTTTCAGCTCCAGACCCTACGAACATGGACTCGATGTCATTTCTTCAAAGCTTCAGCTGCTTGGGCTCTCCGATCTTGGTCCCAGACAGCGCTTTCTTGGCCTCCTCAGCGTCTCTCCAAAGCCTCACGCACACGGGCTTGGCCACGTCGGCCTTCCAGATGGCACACCTGGGATTCTTGGCGTTCTTGCGCAGCTCCGCTTGCGTGGGCTCCACTCCTTTGATCTCTGGACTCGTGGCACTCGGTAGCTTGGTGTTGGTCTTGGATCTCACTAGTTTGGACTCCTTCTTGTTGTTGCGCTCCTTCGCTCGTTTGGGTTCACCAGCCTCGATCATTCAGCACTCCCACATGGGTTTGATGCTGTTTCCTCGCAGTCATAGTTATTTGGGCTTGACCGCCTCTGTTTTTGGTCTGAACCGCTCTGAGTCCCTGCCGTTGGTCTTGGACTCTTTGCATCTGGGATTTCCATCGTCTGTGCGCAGCTTCTTCCGTTTAGGCTTGGTGATGTTGGCTCCAAACCTCGTGGCCATCGGCTCCTCTTTGCCAGTGAGAAGTCTTGTGCACTTTGGTTCCACATCATCTTTGGGAGGTAGTCTTGGTCATGGCTCCTCCATGTTCGCACGCAGCTTCTACCACAGCGGTTCTACTCCTTTGGCCTTCGGAGTCAGTCGCATGGGTCTGTCCTTGTTGGTCCTGGACCTTGCCATTTCCGAGTTGTCCTCGTTCCCGCGAAGCCCCGCGTGCTTGGGATTCTTTCTGTTCGCTTCCGACGTGGCCTTGATGGGATCCGCGGTTCCCTCGCGAAGCTCTGTTCGTTGTGGTTTCATCTCGTCCACCTTTGGCTTAACTCACCTGGGTCTGCTGGCGTCCGCTTTGGATGCCACTTGCCTGGGATTGTCGCTCTTGGTGCGAAGCACGACATGTTTAGCCCTGGCATTGTTGGCCGTGAACTTTGCCACATCAGATTCGCCCACATCCGTCAGGTCCTTTGCTCGTCTGGGACTCCTGGTTCCTGTTTGCAACTATGCCCACCCAGACAGCTTCGTATTCCTGCATGTGTTCGCGCAACTGGACTTCGCAGCCTTTTTGTTCGGACGCTCTCATTTGGGCTTCTTCTTGTTCATCTTGGATGGTGTTACTATTGACCTTTCCCCGTCATCACACTCAATTGCTCAACTCGGCTCATCGCTTTCGGCCTTGGCGGGTGCTTCTCTCGACTTCTCGTTGTCTTTGCATGGCCATAAATGCTCAGGAAGCCTACTGCTGATCCTCGGTCTCACCTCACTGGGCCTCACGATCTTGGTCCTGGATGCCGTGCAACTCGGCTTGTCACTTTCGTCGCGTTCGATTGGATGGGCTGGCTCCGTCCCTCCAGTGGTGGACTTCGGACATTTGGACTCTGGAGTGTCCCTGAGAAGCATTGCTTGAATGGGTTTATCTGCGCCTGTCTTGCAGTTCAGTCATCTGGGATTCTTCATGCTGCCCCATGGCCTCGCAAGACTGGAGAGCTCCTTGTTGGTGGAGGGGAAATGGGCGGCGCCCAAGCTATCCATCGTTGACAGCATCAACTTTGGCTTCTCCTTGTTGGCCCGAAGCATGGCACACTTTGACTTCCCAGTGAGCGTACTGGACATGGTGCATACTGATTTGCTGTTGTTCTTACGAAGCTTTGCCAAAATGGGCTTTCTGGTGTTGGTCTGGGGGGACATTGATGTGGACTTTGCCTTGTCCTTACGAAGCACCGCTTGTTTGGGATTTGGACTTTTGACCTGTGGTCGCTCATGCTTTGGCTTCTTTCTGTTGGCCCTGGACCTTTTGCACTTGGGCTCCTTACTTTTCTTCAGAAGCTTTGGATATGCCGGCCTGGTGCTTTTCACCTTTGACTTGGCTCATATCGAATCCTCGGTCTTCCTCCAAAGCCTTGCTCACCTTGACCTCATTGCGCCAGCCACTAGTTCAACCCGTTTGGGCCTTATGGTGTCCACCACTGACTTCAGCGCCCCAGGCTCTGCGCCGCTGGTGAGGAGTTCCACATGCCTTGACTTCGCTCCGTTTGTCATGGACCTTTTACACTTGGGCTTTGTGATGCTGATGCAAAGCCTTGCTCATTTGGACCTCTCATTGTTGGCCCTCTGTGCCACCAGCCTTGGTTTCGCCCCATTCCTACGCAGCTTCGGTTGTTTGGGCTTCAGCCTCTTGACTTTGGGATGCACACGTGTGGCTTCGTCGACTCCCGCATTAGATGCCATGAAGCTCGGCTCCGTGTTGTCTATTAGGTCCTCTGCCCATATCGGCTCAGTGGTTTTGACTCCCGATTTCACGCAGTTCAACTCCTCCACCTTGCCACAAGGCTCTGCCTGACTTGGTTCCTCTTCGCCGACCTCGGGTGTGACTCGTTCTGATTCGACAGCCTTGGTCTTTGGCAGTACGGAGTCGGGTTCGACCTTCTTGGTGGATAACTACGTGCGCATGGACCTGAAGCTCTTGGCGGTGGATGCGGTACATCTGGGATCTCTATTACCAGTACGGTCGCTCGCATGCCTTGGATTTCTGATGTTCGTGCCGGACTTTGCTTCTGTGGGCTTCATGCTGTTGCTGCAAAGCCATGTGCGATCAGCCTCGGCAGTGTCAGCCTCAGGCTTGAGCAGAACTGGCTTGCTTTTGCTGACCCTGGACCCTACAGCAATTGACTTCCTGACATTGGTTCAAAGCTTTGCTCATCTGGGTTTGCCCGTCTTAGCGCTTTCTTTCACCAGCCTTGCTTTCTCCGCGTCCTCACGCACCTCTGCACATTTGGACTTCACACACTCCATCTTTGGCATGACCAGGCTGGACCCGGTGGTTTCAGTCCTAGACCATGCCTTCGCAGGTTTTGCGACCTTGATTCGTAGCTTTGCTCATCCGGGCTCACCCTTGCTGGTTTTGGACCCTGCACACCCTGGCTTGTCCTCGTCGATTCGTGGCTTCGTCCGCTTGGGACCTTCCTTGTTGGCATGCAGCAGCATCAAGTTCGAAAAGACTGAGGTTCTCAGTGTGACTCAGAGTCTGACGTTAGGTTCTTCACTGTTTTTGAGGTCCTTTGCGCACCCCGGATCTGTGGCGTTGATTTCGGATTTCACCACTGTGGGCTTGACCTTCTTCTTGAAGAGCTTTGTAAGGGCAGACTTCAGCATGCTCGTGGTGGGCATGGTCCGATTTGACAGTCCTCTCTTGATCGTGGACACCACCGAGCTTGGATTGACTCTTTCAGCCCTCAGCAAGGTGGAACTTGGAACTAAGCCGTCGGTGGTTTGCTTTGTCGCGCTGGGCTCGTCGTTGCCGTCGAGAAGCCCTGCTCAATTGGATTTGGCCATTTTGGCTTTGGGCTTTGCTGGAATTAACTTCTTCTTGTTCGTTCGAACTCTCGTCCACATGAACTTCCTGGTGTTGCTCCTGGGCCCGGCGAAACCCGACCTCCTCGTGTCCGCGTCGGATTCCGCAGCTCTGGGCTTCGCAGCGTCCCTCCGATCCTTGGCCCGGCCGGACTTCTCCGCCTCCGTGTCGGACGCCGCGACTTTCGACTCCTCGACCCCTCCCAGGTCCTCTGCCCGCACGAACCTGGCGGTGTCCGCGATCCAATTCGCACAGCTGGGATCGATGCCGTTGCTGAGAAGTCATGGACGAATGTCTTCCATGCTTTCAGTTTTAGGACTTAGTCGATTGGGCTTCTTCTCATTGGCTCTGGATTTCGCGTTCTTGGGCTTGTCCCTCTTGGCACGAAGCACGCTTTACGTGGGCCTGCTACCGCCGACCTTGGATGCCGCTCTGATGGGATTGGTTGCTCCTTTGAGAGGATTGGCACGATTGAACTTGGCTGCTTCTGCCTCGGATTTTTTACACATGGGCCTGTTGCTTTCGCCCCGAGGACTTTGCCATATGGAGCCATTTCCTTCCATGTATGGAGGCATGGGCTTGGGTGGTTTCTTGCCCGTGAGTACGTGGGGAATCTTAGGCAGCTCATCGTCAACTCACAGTTTTGTGTGCTCGGCCTCCTTGCTGAGCGTGGGAGACTTTGCACATGTGGACTCCTTACTGCTGCCACGCAGCCTCGTGTGGATGGGCTTCTTGGTGTTGGTGCTGTATTTGGCACATGTGGACTTCTTGCCTTTGCTGCAGCAGCATGCGCACCTGGCGTTCTTCTTGTCGGTTTTGGGAGTGGCAAATACTGGTAGTCTCTTGTCCACTTTGGACGTCAGCCTGCTGGGCTCTTCGTTGCTGGCACGCAGCTCTGCTCACATGGGTTTCTTTGTGTTGGTGGTGGACGCAGTGGCGATGGGATTCTTCTTGTTCTCAAGGAGCCTCCTACACATGGCCTCAGCAGTTCTGGTGTTGGACTTCTTGCACTTGGGCTTTTCACTCTCTTCGCAGCAATTCAGTTGCTCAGGAAGCGGGGTTTCGGCCCTTGGAATTGCGAACTTCGACAAGTTGGCATTGGTCTTGGACTACACCACACTCGACAGCTTGTCATCAATCCGAGGCTTTGCGCGTCTCAGTGGCTCGCTCCCCATCGCGGAAGAATTCCACCTGGACTTGGCCCTGTTCGTGCGAAGCCTTACGTGCTTGGACCTTGCAGTGTTGATTCTGAAGTTGTTGCACATCGGATCGAGCTTGTTCGCGAGGAGCATGGTGCGGCTCGGGTTCTTGCTTTTGGTCTTAGGCGCGGCCCGGGTGGCTGGCACGTTATCCGCTGGAACTTTGACGGTTAGCACACTTAGTGTCGTCGGAACAGCCACCTCTTCTGGGCGGTTCTCTGTCGTAGAATCTACGCATTTGGACTTTCTGTTGCCCGCACGCAGCTTTGCTTACCTTGGCTTATCAGTCTTGATCCTCTGCCAAGCTCACCTGAACTCTCCCTTTCCTTTGCAATGCTTGGCCTGACTCGACTTCGCTGCCTCAACTCATGGCCTTCTGCGCCTCGGCTCACCAACACCTGCCCTGGACCTTGCGAGCTTGGGCTCTGCCACGTTGGTGCGCTCCTCCGCACGTCCGGGCCCTGCAGCGTCGATCGTGGACTTCGCAACGATGGGCTCCTGTACCTCGTTGCGCTCCTTCGCGCGGCCGGGCCTGGTGGTGCCGGTCGTGGATTTTGCACACTTTGGCTCATTGATGCTGGTGCCCTGGCGAAGGGGGGGAGACATGGGGAGAAGGCTGAAGGGAGAGAGGGGTGTTCCAGCCACGGCTTTTTCGATAGAGCTGGCCCTGGCCATGGGTTGGAAAAAGATGGGACATACTGTTAGATGCGTACTTTTACTTATTTTGTTTTCCGCATCCTTTTCAAAGTTGTGTGTTTTTGAATGCGTTTTTCTCACGAAATCTGGGATCCTCGGCGTGAGTGGTGTTTGGGAGGGTGTTTTGGCACCTCTACCTGGAAACCCCCAGCTGAGACGCCGGAATTCTGCGGGATGCGATTCTTCAGGGGTCCCGACTCTTGTTCGGGCCAGGTTTCATTACCCAGACACGACTAGTCTGGGACTGCCATAGATGCCGATCAGTTGGGGTGGTTGACTGGGGGGGTCAATGGGGCGGCAGTCCTATGGCAGTCCCATGGAGTGTCTGGGTTATAAGCATCGATGTCTGGATGGTCTCCTTTCTGAGGCTTAGAAAATTCAAATTCAATCCAATTCAGCACTCATCCATTTATCTTGATGTTTTCCAAAGACAAGGGTCTGGCTTGAGCTGGTTTTGTTGTCTAAAATCCTTGAGTAAATCCCCTTATATACACTCCTGGAATCATGACGGAAGTACAAAAAAGGTCTCTTTGCATGACGGTCCAAACAGCCAAACAGCGAAAACCAGGTGGTTTCCCACTCCACGGCTCCACGGCTCCCCATCTCTCTGGAGCGATCCCATCGGGGGCGGCAAAAGCACTCCACCTTCCCGGACGAACGAAATCGCTGCTGGCGCACGGTTCCACGCCTCCAGGCTCGAGGCCCTACGCGCTTGGGCTTGTGCTTGTCCGCCAGCGGCTTCTTCATGGTGGGAAGTTGCATGTCGGTGATCATGCACGCGAACGTTGGGCCGTCCTTGTCCTTGAGGACCCCCCCGGTGATCAAGCCACGCAGAGCCACGCAGAGCCACGCAACGCCGGGGGGGGGGGAAATTGCCGGGAACCCCCGGCGGCGAACGTTGGGTCTGAAGAAAGGTTTGAAGTGTGTCCGCCCTGAGGTGGGGATTTGTTTCTAGGTGGAAGAGGTCAGAAGCAACAAAGTTGTAATATGCGCGGAGATGCAACACATCACCTTTTCATGATGTTTCATGAATGTATATTCATACCAGAGCATATTATACAGTGAGGAGTTTTAGGAAGGTAATCCTTCCCTTCAACGACCATCCCTGTATTTTTACACTGGGTCAACCCTCCCAAACAACAAAATAAGATAAAAACCATACGGAATCTTCCAATGTTTGCACCTCCTGTAGATAGCTTCGCAGGAGCTTTGCATACGCAGAGCCGGTGATGTTCGTGGCGGCCTTTGGACATATTGGCTTCTCTCTTTTGAAGCTCGGCGCGACGTGTGACAGACATGTGACATGGACAGACATGAAACTCGTAGATCGGGTGGGCATCATGGGTTTGGGATGCTTATAGTGGATGAGTAGATGGCACCGGCACCCCGAGATGTCTTTATACCTAGATCTTCCAACTATATTGCACAATTTATGCCTTTTAGTGCATAAAACCAGCCAAAAGGCATACATTTTGCATAGTTGGAAGATCTAGGTACAGGGGTCCATATAAACCACCAACCTTGGGGTAACTTGTGCCATCGAACCTCTGAAACCACTTGAGTTGGATATGTGGACTGCGGGTTCGAAGACTCAACAATGAAACGCGGTCCCTAGAGTGCTTGCAACAACATGACTCCCTAGGGATCCAAGTACCTTCTCAGAAGGTGATTGGAGACTATTTATGTGTAGGCGCCAGGAGGGCCCAGTCGTACCTCCTGAGAAGGTATGTGGATCCCTAGGGACATCTAGGCACTATTGTTACAAAAAACCGCTCACACCCCACTTGGGGCTGGGGGGGGCTGCTCAGATCCTTAGGTTGTGAGGGAGCAACAGTATGAGAATTGAGTTTTGTTTGGAGCGTCAGCGAATGTCAGGGGTATCTTTGGGCCAATCGCCGTAGCCTTCTGTCAGGAGGCCAGGAGGCCAGGGTGGAGGCCAGGACGTCGTTTTCTCGGCTTTTTGGACACCTCTTCATTGCCAAGAGAGGTAGCCCGTGATCAGGTCACGTTCGGACCCGGTTTCCACCTGGGGCCCAGCTAGACCGGATAGTCCAGTTCGTTCGTGTTCTGGGTTCAACCTCTGCTGGTGAGGCACCGATCTTCTCCCTCCCAATAAATCCGATCTACGGCTCTCCGCACCGTGCTCTCCGGTGCTCGAAGACCTGCTTTCCGCGCCACCGCGCCGGCGGACGACTCGACACTCGAGCGTGGCGAGCGCCAGCGGGCTTGCATCCACCGGCAGATGAGCTCCATCCTTTCTCTGGGGTTAGATAGACTGTGAGACAAGGTGGCGTCCCAAAGACCTCCAACGAAGATGTTCAAACTTCTTAAATCCCTAGAAGTCGTGGCCCACCATTGATTGAACAGCTTGTTCTTCCCGAAGATCCATTGTTTGACTGACATTTTCCACTATACAACATCAAGCATTTTAAAAAGTGGTCGAACGGACTTCCAGGGAAATGAAAAAACTCACCCTGTACCAGGAGTTCCAAAGGGGTGCCGAACTTGGAGGATAGGCTTGCCCAAGTGGTTGCCCATTCCCACCACTCACTTACAGACAAAAAACCATCCCTTTGTGACCCTGATGTAATGATCCGAACTAACCACAGGAGCCATTGGCCTATTGCTTCCTGAATTGGTTTCCCCCAACGTTGCTGGTTTCGGTGGACCTCCAAGGCCTCACAGCTACTCCCGCCTTGGATTCTCCTCCTTGGCGTTTGGTGCGGCCGTCTTTGGGTCGATCTTGTCTGTGGTGAACACGGGCGTCTTTGACAAGCTTTCAGTCATTGGCCCGGCACCCCAGTCATTGACCCAGGCAGAGAATTTACGAGAACTCACCCTGACAGAGTTCAAGACTGGGGGATGGGACCCAAAAGCGAGCTGCGGCGCAGCGGGAGCCAGCAGAGCAGCGAAGGAAGTGGTGAACGGAATTCCCCTTTGGAACTGCCGCAGTCAAACGCTCCTGGTTATCCTTCCCAGGAACCCTCCCACCGCAAGAACCCTGAGACGGACCGTTTTTTTTGGGAACAAAAAGAAGCTCAGCTGGAAGTCCTTCACTATATCCTCAATGTCAACAAATATCCGGTAACAAATATATATATATATATAACATATATATATATATATTGTCAACAAATATCCGGTAACACAAATAAACAACATAATTAGAATAATTATGAACCATGTTTTGCATTTGAGCAGTTGGGTGGCTTCATTCCTTCACTCGGTGCAATCCGGTGGTTTTCGCGCCCGAGGCGCGACTCGCATGGCATCCTTCACTTCTGCCCGGAACCTCGTACGACCTGAGCCCGTGCCGCCGGCCTCAGGCCCGGTAGTGGATCCGGTGGGTTGGGGGGGAGAGAGATGGAAGAGGTGAGGTACAAAGGTCCCGGTTTTGGGATCCCGGTTTTGGGTGAAATTGATCTCCAAACCTCGGGATTTGGTACTTTCCTGCTCCCGATTTGGAGGCTCACATCATTTGGATGTCATCAGTGCCGAGATGGCATCACATGCTCAGAGGGTACCAGTGGATCCCTAAAGTGTGGAAGCAGCAGGTTTGGTGATCTACATCTCCGTCAGACTCCAACGAACACTTGAGCTAAGAGTGAGTTCAGAGGGGGAAGTGAGCATGGATTTCAGAGTGGCACGGATTCGCATGGATTCCCATACAGCATAGAACACCAATCTACCATACATCTACCAGCACCCTCCTGGCCAGGCTGTTTGGAGACCCGACCACAGGTGGTTTCTGGGCATCTGTTGTCACCAGGAAGCACCTGTTGGGTCGGGTGCTGGTACCATATATCGATTCCAGATTCCAGAGACAGGCTTCATTTTGAAGGACAAAGCCATGAGTCCGGAAGGTGCTTTTGTAGCATGTTGCAGCGGCAAAAACCAAACAACAAACCATGTGAATTCAGCGCTGTTTCTTTGGTCCTGGGACATCTGCGGCGCGGGTTTGACCGATGTGCAGCTCTGTAAACTGGGCGCCTGACACAGACCTGGGACCTGGCAGGGTGAGGCATGAAGTGAGTCCCTAAGCCACAGTGGATCAGTTCGGCACCCTGATTGATCCGCCAGGTTCGGCACCCAACTCCATACCAGTCCCATCAAGGGACCTGGGTCATGTTCCCTTCTACCTTTGAGCCACAGGCCCGAGGGGGCCATAGGCTTTTCGGGAAGGGTTCCGAGAAAGGACGGCCCACTGGAATCCGTGTCACGGAGCCCTCCAGCAGCATGGCTGACCCATGTCGGCAGCATGTCGGCAGCATGTCGCCAGGCGTCTCATGTGGGCGCCTCAGTTTTGGGGGGGGGTTTTCAATTCACACGCCTGGTCCACCAAAGAGACGAGCAGCCGTGTCTTTTTTGATCTTTTTTGCATTGATGGCTGCCTATTACATCCAGGTTGGGCCAGGTTTGGCCAGACATGTTGCAGAGTTGGAAGACCCAAGTAGAGAATCTCCAAATCCTGGGCGGTTCTAAGTTTTTTGCCCTTAAGTTGGCTTTTATTGACATGATTCTCTTAAACAAGGGTCCACGGTCTTTTGCTTCCTGTTGTTCCATCTTCTTGGCATCACTGCGGTGTGCTTTTTCTCGCCTGTGCGGTCAGGGTCCGAGGGCCGCGCACGCAACGTGACGTGGCACCTCGACGGGTCTGAGAGCCTCCCACCGGCCACCACGGCCTAGAGACTACCGTTGCATAAGAGGTTGGTAAGCCTAAGAGACTACCACGGCCTAGAGCATCCCTACCACCATGGCCTACACGGCCTACACGGCCTAGCATCCCTAGAGACTACCATGGCCTACACGTTTTTCAGCATCCCTACCACCATGGCAAGAGAGCCTTCAGCCATCGGAGACCGAACGCAGGTCGACCGGATGCGGTTACCGAACGGAGCGTGGAGCGAACCACCGAACGGGGCGACCCGGTTTCCCTGGCGGCCGTAAGGATCACCGGTTTCACGGACGATCACAGTGGCTTTTTGTGGTCGGTGCACAGTGTCTATGCACAAAAGCTGGCTAAATCCCCTAAGAAGGCATGCACACAAGAAGCGATGAGAAACATCACATTGCGAGAAGCCCTGCTGGGCAGCATGCGAATCCCGCCATGCTGCCGGGGTGTTCATTAGTGGCCCCTTAGAGGTCAAGGGTGTCCACCCTTTTTTTGGGCTTCCACCCACCCATGATTTCATGTTGTCTTTATACCAAACCACCGTTGTTCTTCTAACTATTTTACACTACCACAGATCCACCATGGTCCAACCATGGTTGGACCATGGTCTTCACTAGACAGGCTACTGGTCCATTACCCACCCGGCATGGGGGTGCAGCCTGCGCTCCCAATGGTGGTCCCTTCCACGCTCCGAGGCATAGAATTTCCGCCCTTCGTGGTGGACTTTGGCTCTTTCGACTCGTTTCCGTCGGTGAGGACGGACGAACTCCGGTGGGCGGCGTTTTCGGTGTCAGGCCGTCGGCCGTCGGTGAAGAGGACACCCTTGAAAAAGGACTTCAAAGACGGAGTTTGGGACAGTTTTTGAGATTCTAGCGACTCCAACCTAGTAGGCTTTGTTCTAAGAGCGATGGCCTCCACCCTAATTAGTAGCGATGGCCTCCACTCTAGTAGTAATGGCCTCCAACTATAGTAACATTGTCAATAGAACCTTCTTCAATGAACCATCTTGGGGCTCTAAATGCTTGACCCCACGAAGGATCAGGACCTCCCGACGGGTGGGCCCCTCCCCCACCCAACATCCAACGAACGGATCGTGTGGACGCTGAGTCCATCGGCGCAGACGATCGAGTGCGATCTGAGGGGAGAGAGGATGCCAGGGAGGCGGTCCAAGCGAGGTGGATTTGCTTGGGCAAGGTCGACCAGCACCACCCGGTCTTTTGGGCGCGCAACTCCGCATATGTTGGGGGGCACAACTCCGTGGTGTCGACCACCCAGAACGTCTGCCCTAGAAGTCAAGTCGACCATTTTAAACATGGTTGATCTGGTTTTGTAGTGTAAAACCCTTAGTGAAACAATGGTTGTTCGGCAAAGGCTATTAAGCCCAATGGTGGTTCGACTTCTAGGGTCTGCATGAGCTTCGACCTCTGTTCACTCTAAACGTGTGCAGAGTAACGCACGGAGTCGTCCGCCCGGCCCGGGTCCCGGGTCCCGTGCCGTCGACGCGAGGAGCTCTGCTCGTTTGGACTCCGCCGTCTTGGCGCCCCGGTCGCGACCTACTCGCGAGCGAGTGAAGTACAGCGACCCCTACTCACGAGCGAGTGCGAGTTTTCAAGCTAGCTGTGAGCCTGATGGATGACCTGGAAGTTCTGATAGAGGTCCAAAAAGCACTAGCCGACGACGATAAACAGGTCTCCGAGTCATGGTGGCTTTTGCGGACTTCAAAGTCACAGGTGGTGACCTGTGAAGTCGGGTGCTGGTAGCCGTTTCCTGGAAGTCCAATTTTCTCAGAGGTGCTTCTCCGAGAAAGAGAACTCGAGATGAACATGAAGAACATGAGTGAACATGAATCCAAAGGGTCCTTTGGCAAACCACTGGGATGGGATGAAGAATCATTCATCCAGCGGGGATGTGGTCGAACTAGCCAGACTTTGATGGCGAAAATGGCATGAATTAAGGCAAGCATTCGCTGGCTCCGGGATTCGAGTATAGCTTGGCGATTCTCTGTTCCAGTCAACTCCCAGCAGTCACATGTCGGGGTGCGATCCATGGAGGTTAGGAGTGCCTATTTTCCACTCACTTAGGGACTAAACACCACCCGTTTGTGACTCCTGGTCCACGTTTTTGGTTTCACATCTTCTTGAAACGCCTTCGCTTCTTGCCTGCTTCGGTTCGCCTTCCAAGTCTCCAAGAACGCCTGAACAGCAGTTCCATGGAGCATCAGGGTGCCGATCTATTCACTGGATGGGACTCGAAAACTGACGTAAAACCATTCCCCTGGGAGTCAAAGACTATAAAAAGAATAGTCTTTAGGTGACACGAAGAGGAATGTCCTTTACTTCAGTCAGTCAACATATAGTCTTTGGACTTCTAGGGATTCCGACATGGAACTGCTGCTGCTGCTGCTCCTCGAGCCCCAAAAACGAGCTCCAGGTTCTGGGCCTCACCCACACTGGCTCTTCGCCATTCACTCGAGGCACACACCGACACACCCAGACTTCAGGGGATCAGGGTTGGAGCTGGGTACAAGGGTTCTTTTTTGAAAGGTAAGGGACCGGTGTACGGGAGCCACCCGAGAGGGACCGGTGTATGGCCTTCGGAGCTGAGCATGTTCGTGCTATTTGGACCTCCACAAGGTCGTTGGTCGAAATTGGAGGCGAAAGAATTGGTGAGGGAGCATTGATCCCAAATGGGCGTGGATCATGGCATCCGGGTAGGGTGTCCTTGACCAGAACATGAACGGACTACGATACGGGTCAACCTCGAAGAAGCGGCTCTCTTTGACCCATCCCCAAATCAGATCTTGAAACTCAAATCCATCTGGTCTTTGACTACCCCAGTGCATCCCAGGTAAACCACGAGTACTAAGGAACCAAGGACTCGGAACCGGTCGATGGTTGTAGTCGAACTGGAACCACTGGTTACCCGCTATAGTGGTACGGGACGACGGGAGGAAACCGGCGGTCGTCAAAACCGGCGAAACCGGTCGAAGAAGGAGGCACGTTCTATCAAGATCGGGCCAACAAAACCAACACCCTGTCAGCTTGGAGTTTTCTGGATGGAAGGAACATGCAGTATAGTCAGGGGATGGTCAGGGGATGTCTATGAACTATCCGGACTGCGTGGTGTTCGATGAGATTGAGGTGTCGGTGTCACAGTGTGGATCACCACTCGCCTCAATGGACCCCGGGGTCAACTCATTCTTCCATATTCTTCCTGCGAAATCAGGCATAAGATACTTAGGAACCACGTGGTGCCAAGGACCAAAAGCATACACCGACCCTGTGGTTTTTGAGGTTCATAGAAGCATTCCTTCCAACTGCCATTTTTCAAACAGTCGACACTTGCGGAGCTCGTCTCACCAAGGCATGGCCCCCAAACTGCAAAAACCAGGGGTCACATGTTGGGGTGGTTTGGCTCGTCCCCTCCAGTGACTTGGGCACCCAACTCCTACCTCCATGGATAGCACCCCGAGCTTTGTGACTGCTTGTAGTTTGACTCACTCACGGAGAGTTATAGGGGTTGCCAACACCACTGCCGTCCTCGCATCAGGTTATGCATGTTTGGGCTTTTCATCCTTGGTCCCTGGCACGACCAAGCACCTTGGATGCACGACCAAGCACCGTGGTGGGCGAAGAAAGCCGGTTGACCGGAGGATTTGACCAGATCGAACCGGGGGCAGGACTGTCCTGGGGTAGGACAGCATGTGAAAGCCATAGCTGGATCTTCCAACGATGCACCATTTCTGCCTTTGGGTGTTTTAATAGATGAAAAGGCAGAGGATTGTGACAGTTGGACACTCCAGGTGTGTGAGAACAACATACAGTAAGTGACGCAACATGTAGCACAAGACGCAGCTGACACGTGTGTTTTTTGTTATTTGTTATCTATTTTCACCAATGGGCTTCCTTGGTTTTGAGATCCTGGATTTATCAGAGTGGCGACCTTCACGTTTGTATGTCTAAGTGGTACCAGCCAACCCTCTTTTCATACAGAACATCCTACCCTTTGTTTGCCCCACACCTGGTAGTCATGATCCACCACTTGTAAGGTGATAGGTGATACACCTCATCACAACTCAACTTCCCCCCCAAAAATGCAAAGGTTGTCTCACAACTTCTTACATCCGCGTGGATCTTTGCTTACTCTCACAACTTCACATGCAAGGAACCAAAAGGCCAGGCCTTTCTTTTCAGCGCATCTCACGACGTCTCGCGACACCCAATACCCCCGCCTTCGACTTTCTTCACGCTCCAGGCTTGGCTCCGTTGGATTCTACAGCGCCTCTGTGGGGGTCCTCGGTGGCGCTGGGAGCGGTGGCGAGGACTGTGGCGAGTAGTTTGGACTGAGTACTCTCCAAGCGACTGACCCTAGGGAGCCACATACCTTCTCAGAAAGTACGACTGGACCCTCCAAGTAGACATAAAAGAGAGTCCAATCACCGTACCTCAGAGAGTATGTGGATCCATAGGGTGAGTACTCTCCAAGAATGGAGCCTTTGACAAGCACCAGGCCTCCTGGCTTCTTAAGGGCGGTTTTTAATGGAAGACTTGTACATGTGGCAGGTGCAGTCGTACTACTAGCAGTAACTACTGAGCAAGAGGGAGTGAAGTTGACTTCCATTGAGTCGGATGACCATTCGCCCACCGGTCGTTGTATGCACCGGTATATGACGGTATATACGTATGACCCCTCTATGATTTCCAAGTCAGGACCATAGATGACCCTTCACTTATACTTGCTATAGTTGGTTCATGGAGGGGGGGACTGCCCGTAGGACTGCCGCCCCATTGACCCCCAGTCAACCACCCCTGGCCGTTTCTCGGCAGTCCGTCCTGGCAGTCCCAGACGGGTCGTGTCTGGGTGGTAGATGGTACCGAACCTTCCGACCTCTTGGTCCTTCTTCCCCAGGACATCACGAGTCGTCAGGAGATTGTTGGGTAAACTGGGTGCGGAAGCCCGCGAGCCTCTTGCCAGCAGAGGTTTTTCAGAACCCGAACGAACTCGACTATCCGAACTAGGTGCCCCAGGTGTTCCGGGTCCTAGTGACCTGGTCACTGGCTACCTCTGTTGGCAGCTCGCATCAGCTCGCTGCAGCAGACCGGTCTAGCTGCAGGACACCTGTTCTTTCACCAGGTCGTTGGTTCGAAAGGCGACATGCAAACTTATATATTACCCCTATAGGGATCCACATACCTTCTTAGAGCTCGAGTACTTGGGGCCTCCCTACATTAATAGTCTCCAATCACCTTCTCAGAAGGTATGCGGATCCATAGGGTACCTCCAAGTGACAAAGGAGTTGGTGGAGTCAGGAGTACCCGCCCACTACTCCCAAGCCATAAGACGCCATAAGACGCCATGAGTCATCTGGCCAGGGGTGGTGCCAGGGGGGTCAATTGATCGGCATATATGGCAGTCCCATGGAGTGTCTGGGATATGGGGTCCATGTTCGTTTCGGCCGTGAGAGCCTGGGCGCCAGCCTTCTTGTTCGCTGGCGAAAATCGCTGGCCAGAAGGGCACATGGATGGTTTAGCATCCAAACGCACTGTCACGCCTACACCAAGTGTGTTGGATTCCAAGAAACTGAGAGACCCAGGCGATGGGTTTCGACTGATTCAACACGCAACAAAAAGGAAGCGGGAAGCAGGAGTTAGATGGAAACGGAGTGGTGGCTGCTGGACTCCAAACACCAGTTTATCATGAACGTTGTTTCTGCACTCAAGCCCACCAACAGAGGTTAAGTGACATGAACTAGGACCCGTCACGTGGGGCACCTATTTGATAGTCTGTATGATAGTCTAGTTCGGGTTCTTCAACCTCTGCTGGCATGTTGCATGCAGAGCATCTGGTGCTTGTTTTCTGGTTCAGTCTGGGGTTCGGTTCGGAAAGCATCCGCGCTTGTCTTCACGCTGGGGAACGCTGGGGAACGGTGTGCAGTGGGAACGACTCGAAAAGTGCAGTGGGAGTACCAGGAGTCACGTTCGACGGGGTGCCGAACGTTGGAGGAAGTCGGGGTGCCCCTGTCACATCCACGAGCCCTGGATGGGACCAAACACCACCCCGAGCTCTGTGACCCCTGGTAGATAGTCGTTCATGATCGAGATGTCTCTTGTTCTTTCAGATCTTTTGATCATCCTGTGCCGGCTGAGCATTGACTCGAGTTGTGCTCCACTTCTGCTGAGGGTGCCGAAGAAGCGCCCTCAAGTGAGTGTGCAATTGTATTGAGGGAGACCTTTTCCCCCGAGTTTTCAACCCAAAATGTTGCAAAAGCCGTTGGTTGATGGGTCTCACTCTGCCCCACTGTTCCGCCGCCTCTGTGGGACCCCGGACTTTTCCATCGTGGTGGTTGACTCGGACGTCGATGAATTCAGCAGGGAAGCTCGTGCTAGCTCCCAAGGAAGCGCGGAAGGGCAACACCTCCTTCATAGAACCTGAAACCCACTGGTGCACTGGTTAGTGGAGGATCCATCCATCAGATTCCATGTCGATCTTCCCAAGTTTCAAAGGCTTCGAACGACGTGTTCCGAACGACCCATCGAACGTGAGTCGTGGATGTTCTTTCACGGTGCGGGTCTTGGGCTCCTCCCACCCTCCTGTCCCGGAATTCTCCCAACCTCCCGCGCAGGTCTTGGGCTATGCTCATTTGGGCTCGTCCTCGTTGGCCAGGACATCCGAGAAGAAGGGTCGTTTTGAACGTTGGCCAGGGCGTGAAGTCTCCCCTCCGCGTCCACGCGGCCGCTTCCGCAACGCGTTCCGTCGACCACCAGCGAAGGAGCCGAAGCAGCACACACAACTTCGGGGGTGTGTAGCCGAATGGGGCTGCCCGGCCAGTGGGGCTGCTCCAAAAAGAGGTGACACCACAAAAAGCACCAGTCAAAAGGTGACACCACCTGTAATTCGGCCAGTAAAGAGGTGACACCACCGGCTGTTCAGCAACCCGACATCACACGGTTTGCCTTGAGATCTGGACCCCCCCAAAAGATTGCTTGGCAAGCGCAGCTTGGCAGCGCCACCTAGGCACACCGTCGTAGTGGTAAAGACCAAGAACAACTGTGACGATATGTATGTTCCATCCCAAATGTTCTTTTCTTCACCCCTAAACAGGGTACAAGTTGCTGGTTGCCCTCAAATTGGATCCATTCTGGACCCAACACACGCCGTTCGACGATGTTCGACTCTCCACTACGGTGTTCCGCTGTGCCGTTCAGATGGTGCTTGAGAACGATGCGGGCCCGAATGGTGCGAGAACGGTGCGTACCTCGAAGGGTCTCCCCCGGTGACACGCGCGGGGTCGTATTGAAAGAAACGCCCAAAGCAGCACAGTCGTGGCCCCTCATTCATGGATGACCGTTTTCAGGCTTCAAGACCATCGAGGGGTGGTGTTCTTCCAGCTACTTGTAGGTGAAGTCTGATCTAGTGAAGACCATCGGTGACGCCTGACTGATAGAGACATCCCCAGGCCTCCCGTCCAGCGGATTGAAATCTGTTGGTTCTTTGCTGAATGGGCACATGCAGGACCTTCAGGCCGTGACCTCCCTTGAGATCCCGCTGAGGTCAATGAGTCTATCGACTAGTCTCTAAAGAGGTCACAGAAGAAGGCCCTGGTACAAGACTTGCTGCGTGCAACTGAATCGTGGGATTGCTTGGAGATGGCCCGAAATGGTCACACACACCACTCCCGAAATGGGCAGCCCCGAAGTCCTTCGACCGACAGCACGTGGAACCCACATCGAACGTCCGACAGGAGCTTGGCGTGAATGGGTTCGTCAGCTTCAGCGCTGAGCCTGGCTCACTTGGGCTCCAGCACGTCTTTGAAGAGCTGCCCCTCGGGCGGCAGCGTCGATCCGGCGAGGTCTCGAGACAGGGCCGAACGAGACGGGACGGGGTTGGGAAGAAGGAAGGGCGTGGGCAGCAGCGGAGGGTTGGGGGGGGAAGCGAACACGAGTGGTGTGAGGTTGGGCTGCGGAGGTTGGGTTGATTGGCTGCGGAGTTGAGGGTTTTGGGGCAGGATTTCCTTTTGTTGGGGCTGGACGGATGAGAAGTGAAAGCACCTGGACCTTCAAGGGGGGGGTGTTCTGGACAGGGAGATCCCGTTGGGGCGAAACCAGGCAGGTGACCCCTTTGCAGAAGGTGCTGATCTATGGATCAACGGGTGATAGAAGGATCCAAGATGGACCATGGACGGGAGGAACTTTCCTTGGGCCAATGCATCATGTTACGTCCCAACATGGGGTCTTTTTCTGTGGACAGGCAGTCTGAGTTTTTTTTCTTCTATTTTAATTTTAATGGGAAGATAAAGAGTAATCCCAATTCTATTTGTAGCCATGATCTGTGGACTGTCGATTTCTTCTTTCTTCAACACTGCCCTGAAAATTCTTACCCGACAATCCGTGGATCGAATGACAAAAAATGAGTCAAAGAGATGGATCTGGCCATTGAACCATATTGAACCTCAATCATCCTCAGTCTTCACCAACTGGGAGACTTCTGTTCCAGGAGTCACGAACAGCAGGGTGGTTTGAGCACCCCTATCCTCCAAACTCGGAACACCCCGACAGTGGACCCTCCTGGCTCTTCTACGCGGCATATCCCTGGACCCTCCGAGCCTCGGGGTGTCCTGGCTGGAAGCCTGCGGTAGTGTGGGGGCCCCGTCCAGCCAGGACACCCCGAGCGGTGTCGGGTCCTGGTACCCTCTTCGGGTCCGTGTCTCTCGACACCGAATCGTCCGAATCCGAGTCGGACTCCCCCGATCGTCGGCGCCCACGCTCGTCGTCCGATCGGACGCTCGAGAGCGTCGGGGTGTCCCGCGCGCTCACGAGCGTGCGAAAGACTCGTTTTTCCTGGTCCAATCGGTCTGTGTGTGGGCTGGGTGTAGCCCGGACACCATCTGCACTACCCAGGCAATGACAATCTGGGTCATCCTGTCTGTCATCCTGTCTGAGTGTAGGTCCAGACAGGATGACCCAGGTTGGTGGCCATGAACTCAGTGGCCGAATCCTGCTCCCACTACGGTGTGATAGAAGGAGGTGTGAAGAAAAGTCCCAGATACGACCTGTCTGGGAGACGGAAGAGATGCCATGCCTTGGACATGACTCCTCACAATGGTCCCCAGTGGTATGTAAATTTATGCCACACAACGAAGTGTGTTGGGCACTTTCTGAAATCACCCTAGTTACATGGATGATATGGCCGATAAAAGATCATGCTCCAGGACCTTCCCAAAGACCTTTTGAGATCTCAGAATGGGGTCACTTAGGCCTTGAAAAGGTCACTTACCAATCCTGAAGAGGTCACTGAGAAGGTCCTGGCTATTGGCCATGTTCAATCCCAAACACGACCTTCAAAGCGACCGAGCTTGAGATCCCAGGATGTTCGGTCACGAGTTCCAGGCCTTGATTTCAGGTCAAGGTCACCTAAGGTCGACTCCAAAGAGGTCACTTTGAGGGTCCTGGCAGGTGGTGGTTGGTGTAAGCTAGTGTCTGGGGAAGTGCCGGTGCGGTGCGGTGCAACTGATCTCCCGGTGCGGTTCGACCGGCACGCCCAGACCGACGCTGCGGCTCGACGCCCTCTTCGTTCGGAGTGTCGGGGGCACCCAGCACGAGAGAGAAAGGATCCGGAGAGTAAACCTAGGGCTCCAACCATATCCTCAGAAGGTGGTTAGACCATGTTAGACCCCAAAAACCCCACCCCAACCACCTTCTCAGGAGGTGGGCCAGGAGCCGAACCGTTTCGGTTCGCTGCGACCCCTCGGGGGGCCGCAGCTTGGGTGGCGGGTGCCCTACCCTGTCGGCTACGAACGCTCAAACCCAATGTTTTGGCGTACCCAGTCCCTGCGGCGGGTGGCTTCTAGCTGGCTCGTGGTCGGATGGTACGCACCCAGATTTGAAGTGCAGTTAAGCCCTACCCTGTCGGAGGTTTTTCCACCACGAAAGGAGGTTGACCACGGGGGGATCCGAGGAGCAGATTCTGGGATGGCACCGTCCAATGGACGGGGCCGTCGGACGGTCGTCTGCAGCGATCTGGGTGAGGTCGGAAGCTGCGTAGCTGGGGGCCGAATGAGGTATACCTTGGGCATGTCAGACACGTTACGGGAAGCAAAAGAGACTGGAACTCATTCCGAGTTCCCAAATCATTTGCTCATTCGCTAGCAGCTATACACAATGTGTACAGTATTCCTTCGAAAAGAAGTTGAACATTGTTGAGGCTACGCTTTTCCAGAACTGGGTCGCCCGTTACAGAGGAAAGCGATGCTGCCATGGTACCTGCCGTGGCTTCTGGCAACCCTGCGACGTCTCGTTCACGTCTCAGCATCGTCCCATATTCTGCTGGTAATTCGGACGGTTCATGCAGGTTTGTGCTGCGACTTTCGGTGTCTTTTGGCCAACAGAGTGCCTTCCCAAACCTGGTTTTTGCTTCAGAAATCTCAAACCTGGGCCACCTGGGGAATAGTTTTGACTTTTTTCTGGCTCCCTAAGCAAATCCAAGCAAAGAGTGAGCGCCTTTCCAAAGCCAACCTCGTGTCATTCTTTCTGCTCTCCCACTAATGGACTGAAGATCTCGAAGGAAGAACGAACACGCTCGTGGTCCAAAATCTACTCGCGAAAAGAGGGAGTTCCCATAGTTCCCTATTGATTCCACCAACCCAGACGCTCCGTTCACAGCCCGACTGGTCCCGAACCAAACCATAGGGATTGGTTCGGGTCCGGGCCCCTCCAGAGGATTCGGGTACGGCCCCTGAACGCAGGGTCCAGGGTCGCGTCTGGGAACGAGGAATCACCGCTCCCGACCACTGACGATCATATGGGATCTGGTGGAACATGGCTCTCTTTGCTTCGGAAGGATCCGGTTCTTTGAGAAGAGATGGCCTCCCAACCTACTAGCGATGGCCTCCCAACCTACTAGCTATGGCCTCCTAACCTGCTAGCGATGGCCTCCAACCTATGGAAGGATCCTGGAGTCCCCTTTCTCCCGGAGGTTCAGAGGAGTTTAGACCTCGGCGAAGAGTTCTCTCCTGCTGACTCACTCGCGAGTCAGCGAGTCACTGGAAATTGTAATAATATACCTACAGCCTTATAGGATCTTCCATCTATGCAAACAATTGCAAACATGTTCCTCTCTTGGACAGTTGTAGATGAACAGGATGACAAGGGCAGTTTGCCTCTTGCTCAGTTGGAAGACCCAGGCCCTTTTTGCATCCTGGCATACCCTCCGCACGACCCGAGCGTCCGTGTTGAATAAGACCCTGCATTGCTTCGACCGCAGGCCCCTTGGATGACTTGGACTCTCCCAACCTTCACCGGCTCTGAGAACCAGCGGTTCCATCAAAGGATTGGTTTTTGGTCCCATCCAGTGAGTGGATCATGGACCCTAGGGCTCCTGTCGTACCTTCTGAGAAGGTGTTTAGATGTGTTTAGGGTGGGTGCCATGTTCGGGTCCAGATACCTTCTGAGGTATGACTGGAGCCCTAGGGGGATAAAACCCCCATGTCCTAGGCACTTCAAGGTGGATCCAAGGGTGCCCATGATCCAAGGGACAAGGGTGGAGTTGGAGCCCGAACGTTGAGTGGATCATGGGCACCCAACTCCCTGGAACGTTCGGCACCCGACTCCTTGGAACTGCTTGGCATCGGGTCCTTATGCGTCGGCAAGGGGGGCGAGAACGAGAAGCGGCAGCGGCTTCCGATGTGTGAGAACTAGACCCTATAGACTATACCATATCCCAGTGAGGTCTAGTCAAGGTATAAGGTATAGTCTATGGATGGTATAGTCTATAGTCAACTATATATATATATATACTTGGTCCTTTTTCCAGGTCACTTGACCTCTCTTGGATGTGTTAGAACCGAGGGTGCGATTGGCATCTTCGCTCTTTGCCGGGGGCCCCAGGTTTGGTCGGGTGTGCAGAGGGTGCGGAGGGTGCGGAGGGTGCGGCTGGACGTGGCAGACCTTCAGTCCGCGACCGGGAAAGGCATGGAAAGGCCTGGAAAGGAGGTCTTCCCAATCAGAGACACTGCTCTTGAACTCCAGCTCGTGAAAGGGAACTTCCTGAACACTTCAGTCCGTGAAAATCGAGTCGAACTGGACTTCTAGGCTATATATGCATGGTAACGACAAGTGCATCGCTACTAATTAAGCCATCTGAAGTTCCAGCCATCGAGTTCTGCATTTTTTCGGCGGCATCGTTTCTGCCAGGTCTATACGTCACAAGCAACTCGTGAACGGCTGGTAACGGCAGACGAATCATTCACCCCCCAGCCGTTTCTCAGAAGATACGACTGGGCCCTTCTAATAGTGCCTACATGTGCCTACACAAATATAGTCTGCCTGCTGGAAGATTAACGAATTATTAAGATGAAACCTGAAAACTACTAGCTTGTAGAGGAAAATTGTCATCCATGTCTGGTCCATGTTCAATTCCATGTGATTCTTCTGGGGTGTATTTGTTAACAAGTGAGTTGAAACCACCACCACCCAACCAGCAACGATTTTTAGGGACATGAGGACCACGTTTCTTCGGACCAGGTGTTCTTTCAGGACCATGCTGAACCCAGGGCATCCAGGCAAACCACGAACGTTCGCTGGTAGCCAGTGGTTCCAGTTCGACTCAAACCATAGACCGGTTCCGAATCCCTGGTTCCTTAGTACTCGTGGGAACTGCCTGGAATCTGCTGGGAGAGGGTTTGGACCCTCACCAACCAGGGTGAAATGCACCTCCCACATGTGGCAGTTGCTTCGAGTCCAGGGTCGCCTGCCGAACGTGGGGGATTGGCTCGACCGACCAGACGACGGGCACGGCGGGGTGGCACCGGACGTGGGGCATGGACGGCTCAGGTCTTGGACTTCAATCACTCCGGCTCCACCTCGTCCGCACGCAGCCTCACCCGCCTCGGCAGCTGTGCCTCGGGCTGTGAAGTGGGGGTTGGGGGGGGGGCTGTCCAGGACGGTTCCTGAAATCAGGGCCAGCTCGTCAGATCATGTTCGAGCCAAACTGGACTTCCAGAGCATTCCAGGGGTCTAAGTAAAATCAATCCCTACAGGTCAAAGACCTCAATTGACTCAAGTTGATCATACCAAAGCACTAACTAAAGTCAGGTCAAAGGATCAGTTTTGTACTCAGATCTCCGGCCAGTCCGGTCTGCGGACCTCACCGAAGTCATCCACCAGGGGGGTTTCCTGAGGACGGTCATGGGAAGGGGGGGTAGTTGCGCACTATCCCCTAGGGCTCCTGGCCCACCTCCTGAGAAGATGGTTGGGGTGGGTGCCAGGGGGGTCTAACCACCGAACCTGAGGATATGGTTGGAGCCCTAGGGATCGTTCATCCAGGGACTCGGCCCGAAACACCTGGAGGCCTGTGTCAGTCCGGAGCCTGTGTCAGTCCGTCCACACGACACTCCGGACGGCACGGACGGCATTCACTGGGGCGGGGGCGCTTTTTCCATGACAAGACACATGGGACTTGTAGATATACCGGCTTATACCGGGTTAACCCTGCCGGAGGTCCGTGAAAAGCATTTTTGACATCGTTTCACTTGGATTCTGTGGTGCAAAATCCCTAGTCTTTTTTGGTATCAATGGTGGTTGGAATTTCAGGGTGTATAAAATGCCCACATGGGCATACCTTCCATATATACATGCAGTGTTTGGTCCCTTGTAACGCAGACATCCGGTCCGTGCTTCTGAACTGAACCACCGATGTCCGGTCCAACGTCCTCCACCGTTGACGTTGGCAGGTCTTTCAGCCGCCGGCACCGTACAACTTCCCAACACCATGGCCTTCGCCAGCAACTCGTGCGGCGGGTCGTTTTCGAACGGATCGGCGGGCCTTCGATCGGAGCCTTCGCCCCGCCTTCCGGGCTTTAAGCGGGCGCACGACACACCAACGAATCAAGGGGGGCGGGGGGGGGGGGGGGGGGGGGGGGGGGGGAGTGGTTGGAAGATGAAGTTTGGTAAGGAAGAAGGAAGATGAAGTAGTTGTTGGAAGTTGTCAAAGATGAAGGGTCTCCATCTTCATGATTCGTAGTTGGGGTAGTTTGGTAGTTGTTGGCATCTCCGAGTGAAAGAAGGAACTCTTCGAAGCATGAAAGGCAGCGCAACTCTTTCATCGGGATGCTTTTTGTGGCGACCAGAACATCCACCTCCATGAAAAGACGGGTTGACCTGCTTTTGTAGTGTTAACAAAGGTTGTCAGGCTGTTCAATCAATCATGTGCCAGGAATGAAAATTAATGGCACTCACATCCATTCACTGGAGCGACTGGAGGGGCCTCAACTTGCGCTTAAGCACGAGTGGATGAGTGAAGAACATGTGAACATTTGTCTGTAGATAGGCGACAGGGGTACTTAGGTACCAAAATCAATTGGGATTCTATACCAGGAGTAACAAATCACAAAGGGGTTGTTTTTAGTCCTTAAGTGAGTGGATAATGTGCACCCCTAACCTCCAATAGGCACCCCGTTGTGTCTATTTCTCTCGTTTCTTTCTTTATTGCGCTGAAGAAGTGTTTTGGACCAAACCGTTTTCTCTCATCGTGGTTTGCAAGAGTTCCACACAACTTAGACCAAGCGTTGTAAGAGTTCCACACAACTTGTTGACCGTTTTTCTTTTATGAGAAACATCCCCTAGGGATGCTGAGAAGGTACTTGGATCCCTAGGGATCTGGTTCAAACCATCACACAACTCGTGGGTTGTTTCAGATCTTCAGATGTTCAACCATTCTTGGTACGTCTTCACCCGCCTGCACTATGCCTATGATGCAGCACACCCCACAAGTGGGTTAGCTTGTATTTATATAGATTATTGAGCCCAGTGACTCATTTTCCACCTGATAAGATTACAGGGTGATAAGATAACAGGGATTGCAATCCCATAATCCTTCGGAGTCCTTGGTCGGCTCCGTTTGCGCACCTCGAGTGGAAGAGATGAGAAGACCAGGATGAGACGACGCAGCGTTCGCAATCAGCACTGATTGAGTGATCAGAATGAGGGGGTTCAGTTGCGAATTCCTAGAAGTCTTAGAAGATAGGAACCCCCTCAGTTGGTGGATCAAGGCAGGAACCTCCTGTACTTGCAGGGGTAGGGTTGGAGTCCTTGCGCTGGGAGGTACATCTACTACGACAGCGGAACACCCATGATGCGGTGGTACATGAGTGGCACTCAGGCAGGTGCCGATGCCTTTTTCGTGTAGCAAACGGTTCGTGCGGCTCTCATTATCGAAGGACCTTCGGAGCAGGGGGGGGTAGGGGGCACGCTGACCGGTCAGGCCTTTGTACCTGGCATCGACTCGATGATTCCCAAGTCAGGACATCATTGGATTGCTGGTTCCTGTCACCTACAGAATGATGGTCCTACAGAATAAGGGACCAAATGCCAAGAGCGTTTTTGCTTAGATGATGCTGGCGCACCCTCTTTCCAGAGTCCTTTCAAGTGCCAAGATATCACACGGATTTCTCCTGGAACACCTCAAAGTTACATGTTTCACCATCCACATGCTGCAACACAAGAGGAACCTCAAAACTGCCTGTGTTTGGGGCTCCTGCATGGCAGCCAGTATGGGCTGCCGGTGTCTGTTTTCGCAGGTGATGAGCATGGATAGTAGTGGCGGCACACTGCACGGTACTTGGTACTACGAGACCGCCTTGCGCCTTGGCTCTGTCGACGGTCACGGTGACGGCCACAGAGGCCGCTGTGCCGGAGTGGTGGCGATTTGGTCCGGACGGTGTGGCGAGTTCCACGGAACGCTATGTGGATTGGACATGGTTGAATTCGTTGAAGCCTGGGCTTCAATGGTTAAGATGCTTGATCTATAGGGTTGTAGTGTAAAAGCCATACACAAGGATTCTCCGGGAAGAAGAGGCAAACCACATCAATGGTGGGCCATGAATCTTAGCAGGCAACGTCGGAAAACCTGGTGAGCTGGGTGGTTTCAGTTCCACTCAAAGGTTTGCTGGGTGGTGGGTTTCCGAGAATTTTTGATGTGCCAGCAGTCACAAAAGGGGTGCGATCCATGGAGGTTAGGGGTGCCCAGAACATCCACTCACGTAAGGGGACTAAACGCCACCCCGACATGTGACTGCTGGGTGTCAGAGATTTTTCAGTGGTGAGATTTTGATGTTCAACCTGTACCCGCGCTTCCTCATATTTTTCGTAAGTGACTCGAAACCACCAAGCAGTGAATCAACTGAATCCACAATAAGGCAGGATCTTGGTCCATCGAAGGGTAGCTCCACTTTTTGCCAAGATCTGGTGGAATGTGATACGTTCCCTACGCTTCCAGTAAGATTATTACTCAGGGGAGGATGGAGAGAGATTGCATACAGATTGCTATGACATCCACTGCCTGCCTCGTTTCGCCTCGTCGGCTTCCGGGTCGCCGTCACTCGCCGTCACTCGCCGTCACTCGCGGAGACGCGCCGAAGAACTCGGAAGCCGCTCAGGACGGCCTCGGACCGACGTCTGAAGAAGGACATCAAGCCGCTTCAACGGACCCTCCGCGATCTCCTGTCACCCCAGGCGCCGGATAGATGAGAGAGATGAGAGATGGGTCGGGGTCCGGGTCGCCTCCTGTCACCCCAGGCGCGGGTCGGATTTTTGAGAGGTGGAGATGGGTCGGGGTCCGGAGCTCGTCCGGAGCTCCTCCGTCTGAACGCAGGAGTGGGACGTATAGTGGAAGTTGGGATCCGTGACTGCTGCTCTCACTCCGGTCGGAGCCTCCACTGCTCTGACTTCACATCACCGGTCCGAAAGGCGGGCAACGGCTGGGGATCGGCCATGAGGCCGGCCGCTGCCCGGAGAGGCCCGGATGATCACCCAAACGCTCCATGGGACTGCCATATATGCCTACATTGGGGTGGTTTGGGGGGTCAATGTAGGCATATATGCCATACATGGAGTGTCTGGGTCATGGATAGGCACATCCGGCCCTATCTCCGCTGATCATCGAATGATAGGCCCGGATGTCAATATGCCCGGAGTGTTGGTGCCCAGGGAGGTGGACCTCTGGGATCGTCTGAGGTAGGGCGGCGCTGCTGGTCGTGTGCCGTTCGAGACGGTGTATTACTGCACCAGTCTGTGGGCCATGCGATGGGTTCTGTGGGATGGGTTCGGTTTGAGGTTCTATGAGGGGTTCTAGCCACGTGCATGACATGGCATGGCCACAAGTCCTCAGTTGGCCCCATAAACCCATCGGGGCTCAAAGATGAGCCAGCATTAGCCAGAAATAGTTTCAACACTTTCCGAATGTGTTTTCTTTGCTTTGTCACTCTTTTTTTTAGATTTTTTTAGACCTTCAATAAATATAGGCTGACCTTTTCCCCTAATAGTAGATGCCTCATACATCCTCATACAGTTGTCTGGGCACCCCATCTATGCACTTGTGTTGCTGCAGTAGAACCCTTTCTAGAACGCCCCCCTTGGATTGATGTATTGCTGGATGGGAGAAATCCCGCGACCGCTGGGTGAGAGTGAAAAATACCGATGCGTACTGCTGCGTTCTTCTGTCGTGTTTTTGGCAGCTCATGACTCCGGGCCCTCATGACTTCTGTCAGGGTTTGCGTTCGGGTGTGTGGATGTTGGGTTCGCTGAAGGTGGAGAAGGTCAGGTACCCTGTCACGCATGAGGGAGAAGCCCGTACAGATTCAATAGGGATCGAGCTTATAACGACACGACCGATGGGCTCCGGAAAGCTGTCAGATGAAGAGCAGGAATTTGTATTGAGGATGCTCAATGATGATTGGAAAACCAAGTCGCGAGGCATGCTTATCCACTTTTGGCGCATCAAACTGCTGGGCCTGGAACGGCGATGCCGGACCGACGTGCGGAAAGCCGTATAGAACTTCTCTGGCATGGGACTGGCATAGGACTGGCTTGTATTCCCCCCCTGGCACCACCTGGCCGTTTCTCGGTCGTCCTATGCCAGTCCCAGACCATTCCCCTGGCACCACCACCCCCCCCCTGGCCGTTTCTCGGTCGTCCGGACTGTCAGTCCCAGACTGGTCGTGTCTGGGTCAGACTCCATCGCCGGCTTCGCCGACGGTTCGTCGGGATCCCTCCAGGTCCGGGACGCCCTGCCGAAGACGGAGCCACAGCCGGCGCAGCCAGCGGCTCCTTTGGCGAAGACGGTGAAGACGGAGAAGGAGAATCGGAGAACCGGCGCCTACTAGGCCCCCTAAGGGGTGTCTAATAATAGCTCCTTAGAGGTTAAGGGGTGTCCATTAACCACCCCTTAGGGGGCCCTGGTATGTTCGTTGGACGGTTGGTCATCATCCTGCTCCGTAACCTTCTGAGAAGGTGGACAGGGGCTGCCGGGAGGGTCCAAAGATGTTTTGAGGTACGACTGGAGCCCTAGGGTTAGCAAAAGCATGCAAAAGCCATGGTTCTTGGGGGTTCGGAATTTGGGTCTTAATAGATAATGGTATTCCCCCGGTGTTCTGTCTGTGACCCGTGACTCATAGACTTCTCCGCTCTTGGTCACTGCTGGCGTGGCGTTTTCCTCGCGGCGTCGCACTCGCGGCGTCGCACTCGTCTGAACGCGTCCAACGCCACGAAGCGGTGCTGTCCGTCGGACAGACTTGGTGAAAGGAGTCCGTCGGACTTTCCGCCGGGAGTAAGGACGAGGAATGAAGAGGACGAGGGGCTGAGGACGAGGGGGTTCTCCCATCTAAAACCTATTGGTGAGTTGGGGGGTTCTCCCTCTTAGAATACGCACCCCAAATTCACATTATTTCACATATCACTTAGGACTTCCAGAGTGCGGTGCCGTCTCAATCGAGCTGCGTCTTTCATCCCTAAGACTCCACCGAATCCCAAAGAGCAGGGTTGTTGAAGCGTCCGTTGAAGCCACGCTCCACGGTGTCGCCGCTCCAACGGTGTCACTCCAGGGCTTGGCCATTCTCATGTCCTCTCCGCAGGAGGCTCCAGAAGCGGGTGCCCTTTGGATGCTCCGGTGCCGTGGTGAAACCGTTCGAGGGAGAAGCCGCTTCCGAACTTCGATACGGGCCGACGGGCGGAACGGAGCGGTTGTGGTGGGACTTGGAATTGGAGACTAGATGTTCTTCCTATGGCACACATGCACCATCATGATCCATCATGCATATACCCTAGGGCCCTAGGGCCTCCAGTTGTAGTTCCTCAGATGGTATGACTGGACCCGAACATGGCACCCACCCCAGTCCACCTTCAGACAAGGTAGGACTGGAGCCTTAGGGATAGAAATGCCAATGATGTCCATGATCATCTATGATCGACACTCCATGTATGGCAATATATACATATTATATACATACTCCGATCAGTTGGGGTTGTGCCAGGGGGTCAATGTAGGCATATATGGCAGTCCCATGGAGTGTCTGGGTATGATCGACATTCCGGTGAGCAGTTGACTAAGAATCATTTGTTTCACGCTGTCATGGAACCTGGTCGTTTTGAGTTCATCACCTGATCGAAGGTGGCCTCCAACTTACTAGCGATGGCCTTCAACCTACTAGCGATGGCCTCCAACCTAGTAGCGATGGCCTCCAACCTACTAGCGACGGCTTCCAACCAGTAGCAATGGCGTCCAACCTACTAGCGATGGCTTTTAACCTAAGAGCGATGGCCTCCAACCCGATGGCCTCCAACCTAGTAGCGATGGCCTCCAACCTACTAGCGATGGCCTCCAACCAATAGCAATGGCCTCCAACCTACTAGCGATGGCTTTTAACCTGTCAGCGATGGCCTCCAACCTAAGAGCGATGGCCTCCAACCTAGTAGCGATGGCTGTTAACCTAAGAGCGATTGACTCCAACCTACTAGCGATGGCTTTTAACCTAAGAGCGATGGCTTTTAACCTAAGAGCGATGGTCTCCAACCTACTAGTGATGGATTTTAACCTAAGAGCGATGGCCTCCAACCTAGTAGCGATGGCTGTTAACCTAAGAGCGCTGGCTTTTAACCTAAGAGCGATGGCTGTTAACCTAAGAGCGCTGGCTTTTAACCTAAGAGCGATGGCTTTTAACCTAAGAGCGATGGCT